GTGTGTGTGTGTGTGTGTGTGTGTGTGTGTGTGTGTCCGAGAAAAATATAATATTTTCATATAAACGTATCATATATTGAAATGAATATATACAGTTAAATCAACTTATGTTTTATGAGTATATTTACAATTGTAACATCGAAAAAAACTCATTCATTTTTATATTAACACATGGCACAGATTGCGAAATGTATTCGATTCAATATCATGTCCGCAGACAGTTATAAATGAGATAAGAGAATTTATAGATATGTTACAATATACAAAAAATAAAAAATGATATACAAATTCAAACATGTGTTTTAATCATAAATGCATTTTGACACACTCAATATATTCATGTTAAAATAAATCAATAAAGTTAAAAAATAATAAAAATAAGATATAAACGCTATGGTCTGTTTAATGTAGAATTTATTATAAAAATTGCGTTTAATTGCAAAGTTAAAATAGATTAATTCATATATAGATAATCGATAGAATAAAAAAAATTATTAAAAGATAAGATATATAAATCACTCTTTAAAGTTTAGCAAACAATAATTAGATACTTTGGTATCTGCATGTATGTGTATGTGTGTATATATATATAAACATATTAAGAATTTTAAGCACGACCGTATATGTGAATACATCAAATATGATAAAGAAAGCCAAAATCGATCAAATTTTGGATGTTACAAATAATACATTATATATTTTTTTATTAAATCAATTTATTCCAGATATAATTGCGAGTCGATAACATTCGGTTTTAACACAATCATTCTGAAACGCTATTAATCCCCCCTTAAATTAAATTAGAAAGAAAGTAAGAAATATTGCGAAAAATATTACCTCAGCCAGAATTCGAACTTGGGACCTCTCAACTTTCCGGGAAGAGTATCTTACCCAGCTCGACCATTGAGGCAACACTCTTCCCGGAAAGTTACGAAGTCCCAGATTCGAATCCTGGCTGAGGTAATATTTTTCGCAATAAATTTCTTACTTTCTTTTTTTTCTAATTTAATTTAGAGAAAATTAATAGCGTTTTAGAATGATTATGTTGAAACCGAATGTTATTGAAATTATGGAATAAATTGATATATAGAAAAAAAACGAGACCTGTTTCACATTAGACATAATTAGAACCTCATCAATGTACATTTAAAACTACACGCACCTAGTAAGTTTGAAAAAACTGGAATATTTTTTTCTATTTGATCACTATCTTTTTCTTACATATACTTTTTCTTACATTACGAATATCCTACGTATCTATTAATTTCACTGAATTCAACGTCTAAAGGGGAGTAAATGGAAAAAATGAAAAATGTTATGAGGTACTAAGGTCGTGCAGCTAAATACACATTGTCTTTTTTTTACATCTATATAATTATGTACATGCACACAAGTTTCTTCTGTTGTATTATAGGTTTATACAAATCTAGTATTTCCTCTATTCACTCATTGCATGCACATCTATCTATTATGAACCAGGTCTCAACAATATCAACTATCTTACAGGAATTGCTATCTCTACGTTAAAATATCTGATGTAAAATTGTATGTATATCGAGCAGTCAGAGAATGTGATTACGTAAATAAAAAGTCTAGTCCTAAGCCACGTCATCCTTGGTTGTCGTCCTCGACAAGTTCCAATTACTTAAAATTATTCAACGCATTTTTAAAAAAGCATTATATAGATGTATCACAGGTACTGTTACCAGATAGGGCCATTTTTGAAAGACTAGAAAGACTTCGTCTGGGACTACTACCTCCGAGAAAGCTGCTGCTAGATTCAGAGAATATTTTTCGGAAGCTAAAATAAAATTTTAAAACACTTTAGATACATGTTACACGCAAATATGAAGAAACGAAAATAATAAACGCATACAATTTACGAATTCCAGATTCAGAGGATTTTTTCCATGGTGCATCATCTGGTTCATAAGGAAGCGGCCCCTGCACGGGTGCATCTTTGTCATCCTCAGGACTGAAAGAACATGAAAGTATATGAATATTTTATATAGCAAAGAATTTATATATTATTTATTATTGAATAACTTACATTTCAGGTTTTGGTCTATATAATTCTAGTTCATCTTCGAGATCCGAAACTCTTGCCTTCAATTCATTTCGCTCGTGTAAAATTTCTTTTAGTTCGGCAGTCGTGAATCTGGGCCTATCAGGATCATCCAGGTCATAAATTGCTTTGTTCGTCAAATCAGGACAGCCTTGTAATTTACTCAAATCCTCATTTTCTTTCTTAGCCATGCCAAGCCGTCCCCGAAGATTTATAAGTTCCCGATTTTGATCCTGCAGTTGTGCTAAAAAGTCGGCTCTTTCTTCTACTAAACCTCGAGCTTGCATTTGCGCTTGTCGTTGTTTACGTTTCAATTCTCGTCCCAGTACGGTAAGTTTCTCCACTTGTGCACTCAACTATATACAACACGTTGTATTATTTATTATGTACAGCTTACAATAAAATCATACGAATTTTCATGTTAAAACATAATTTTTAAACAAAATTTTCTCTTTAAATCTTTAATAATTTTTAAAGTACTTGGAAATGTATTTCAAGTATAATAGACATAAGATATGTATATTTATATTAAAAATATATGTACATATCTTATGTCTATTAAAAAAATCATTGAATTGTGTATATGTATACATAAATACCAATTTACATTTTCAATTTCTGCGGTTTTTTGTGACAATTCTCGATCTCTAGCACGGATTTGCTCTCGTTGTTTATCTATCATAGACCTCAAATGTTGTAGAACTGCTATATCAACCTCCTGACTAGCTGTGATAGCTAAAAATTAACGAAACGAATTATTTCATTATTTTGTTAATTTATACAATGTTCTGTCAAACGTATGTCTGTACGTTTAACAGAACCTTTTAACAATTACTGGATTAGTGACTGGTTAATTGGTGTTAGTACTTGTTTGTTTACTGCTGTACTGACTATCACTACGTGATTCATGTAGAGATTCGGCTAATCGTCTGTTTTCTTCTTGTAATCTAGTAACCATTGCTACTAAATCTCGTGATTCTTGTCTCCAGTGTTCCTCAATTTGTTCCAATTCCTAAAAGAATCAATTAAAATTGACAATGCATAACTGTGCAATATACATATCAAATATACGATCATGAATTACAAATCGTATTGAGATTGTTATACAAAAGTTAAACCATTAGCTACCTTTTCAAATCGTTGCCTATCTTCAGCCTTTCCAATCTTATCGCTCTCAAGCTGAGAGATCTTAGCACTCAGCTCTTGCACCATGGTATTTTCACGCTCATTCTTAGTAGCAAGATTCTCAAGTAGCTCTAAAGCGTTTATCACCTTTGGCATCAAATTAGTCACCGACTCCACCCCAAACAGATCTATGAGCTTCTCGCATTCCTTCCCTATCTCCGATGCAATATCGTACACGTCCACTACTGACACATCAGATGCAACAGAATATTCTTCCATTTTGCAAGTTGCGTTACCTCTCAGACAAAACGGCATGAATACAACTTTTTGCCGCAGCACGCTCTACGCGTAAATCTGCTCAATGTTACGAGAAGGAGGTCTCATAAAGACGTTACGCCCGGAGATTATCGCCTTCCTACGTTTCTAATGTTTCTATACACTTGATTGTGCGATCTCCGGTGGGGATTGTGGGGAATCGTATACATACAGGACAAAGTTACAGATAATCACAGCCAAGCTACACGGAATATTCTGGTGCGTACGCCACAGGCATATACGTGCCTGTAGGTTTGTGATAAATAAATTGCGTGACTTAGGTGTGGCGTTAATTATCAAAACGACAGAATTCGCAATCACGCATCGACGGACGTTCGCATTATGCACTCGTCGTTTCTTAGATCGAATATCAGCCCGGGAAGTGCAACGGACCCCGGTGATGTCATAGCAATTCTATCAAAACGTCATGTTTAAATTCCGGTCGCATACACAGAAGTTACGGCGGAGCAGATGATTGAGATTATTCACGATGTGTATATATATATATATATATATATGTGTGTGTGTGCGCATGTATGCGATTCATCGCGCAGCACCGAGCCTACGACAGCGAGAGGAACGCCTTCTCTCGGAGCAACATGAAACGTATATAGACAGGAATTATTTTTTCCTATCGACATTCTAATAATTTAGAGTATCTATTGGACAACGATGCGAAACAAATCGATCGCGAAAAATGGTAATATTTTATTTTTTTATTTATAAATTATGCACATGTAACACAGATACATAATAGTAAGAAAAACTGATAAAATATATAATAAACTTAATTATTATACTGATTGCTGATGTATATATAAAATGATTATTATAAAAAATTGTGTTTATATATAAATATACGTAATATTCATAAACATGTATAATCATATACGAAATATGTCCATACCCCTACAGCACAAAGTTGCACAAAAGTTGCAGCAATATTGCAGAGATTTTGCAATGATATTGCTGCAAATTTTGTGCTGTATGGATATAAGTTCATATTATACATCCCTCTTTCTTTTGTAAAATTACTTTTTAGTATAATAGAAATAATAATATAGTAATGTGTGAAAAAATAATAAAAAGATAATTTTCGCATTGTTCGTTTTAGAAACAAATAAATTTGGAAAAATATAAAAAAATTGCTCATACACAATTATGCATAATTTTATATATAATTATACATAAATAATTTTTTTATATTATTTTAAACTTGATTTTTTTCTAAAATAAATAATGTGAAAATTATCCTTTTAATTATTTTT